CAACCCCACCCTCTCCAGGCTCCACCTCTCAAATCTCCAGGAATTTCCCAACCTGGAGGTGGCAACCCTATTTCCATGTGGGCTTCTTTCTGTGTGGGCTTTTATGTGTATGGGCTTTTTTCCATGTGGGCATTTTTCCACGTGGGCTTTTTTCCTGTGAGCATTTATGACCATGGTTTTTTTCCTGTGAGATTTTTTCCTGTGGGCTTTTTTCCTAGAACCTGCAAAAACAGTTTTCATTCACAACAGTAATAAGCAATAACAATCTTCCTAGTCGCACCCTATAAAATGATCATGTGAGAGGAATCCAATGTATTTATTGATGCCTAATGAGACAGTGTCAAGGTTTTTATGAATTCTACTTTAAAAGTTTAATGCTAGAATCTCCCAATTCTACAAAAGATCTTCAAGATCAGAAGCAGCAGGTCCTGGCAGTGGAAAGCATTGCCTCCTAGTCCCAGCCTGGGAAGGCACTCCGGAAGGAGGTAATGACCAGTGGTAGTAAAAAATCCTGAGAGGTACAAGAGAATCAGCAGAATCTGTCCATCTCCTAGCACAGTTAATCCACCAGAGCAACCAGTCCCATAACCTGCCCTTAAATCAGACTGGCAAGGATCCAAACAATCTACTTCATCCACAAATGCTTGAAGCTGTCCAGCAGTCACTCATTCAATCACCTTGCTTAATAGAACATTTGAGACTGGTCAATCTGTATCAAAATCTCCCGGGTCCAGGGCAGGCTTTTTTGCTAGTGGATGCACCACAGGCTGTTTCAAGGCTGGGGCTACACTCCCCCCCCCACCAGGAGGCATTAACTACCTCTCAGTTCCACACCCCACCCTGGCATATTTAAGTAGCCAGGAAGGGCAAGGGTCATACAAGTAGGTGGCAAGCCACAAACCTCTGAGAACCCTATCCACATACTCTAGATTGAATAAACTGGAAAGTTTATTTATTATTACCTTGATTTTAGTAAGGCTTTTGATAAGGTTCCACATAATATACTTGTTGACAAATTGGAAAAATGTAGTTTGGATCCTATGACTGTTAGGTGGATCTGTAACTGGTTGACAGATCGCACTCAGAGTGATTGTGAATAGTTCCTCAATGTGTCCAAAGGAGAGCAATGAAGATGGTGAGGTGTCCGGAGACCAAGTCCTATGAAAAAAAGGTTGTTTCCGGTTTCAGTGACTCAAATGGCGGGCGGGCTCCTTCGGATCTCCAATAGGACTGGCCCATAATGCGGCAGACGGGAGGGGTACCAGATGATTCCAGACCCCCCCTCAGAGCCCTTGTAGGGGGCTTCCAGCCTGGGGCGCAAGGAGTGCCTCTCCCAAGGCCACTGCTGAGGGATTGAGGCTCCCCTCTGCCCCATAAGGTCCTGCCGCCACAACACCATTATGGCGACGAGAGGCGCACACCAGTAGAGCGAGCAAAGGATCCAGCAGCTACGGAAAGCCTCCCTACCTTCAGTGAGTCCAAATGAAGCGTGAGTCCATGCGAGTATAACACAGCCAAACATTTAAGCAGGTAACCCCCCTGGAACCTCTAATTCACTAGCGGAGGGGGTGGAGCTGGTCTCACCCCAGATAGGAATAAAAAGAAATTTAAAGAGGCAGAGGGGGAAAAGCCAACTAAAAAGCACCATATAGTTCAAATAAGGTGGATAATGGCCCCAGAGTACAAGCAATTAATCTTTCAGAGACGTTTTCAAACTTTATAGTAAACAAATGTTTTGTGGGTTGGAAAATGGTGCCGAAAGTAAGACCTTCTTCAGGAAGTGCTAGCTCAGTCGCAGCAACTTCCAAACAGGAAGCTACCATAGATTTAACAGGAAGCTACCATAGATTTCCCAAATATGTTGAATGCTGCACTTTGCCCCCTTATGGGCCAGATGACTCAACTTAACAGCAACGTTGAGTCTCTCCAAAAACAACTGCAGGAAACTAATACAAAAGCTGAAAAAACAGCCAAAACGTTGAAAAAGGTTGATGATAAGACAAAATACTTGACGCAGAAGATGGAGGCAGTGGAAAAAGTGAAAGACTCTGAGAAACAACAGCTATTATTATTATGAATGGAAAAATCTTCATGCATTCTGAGATTTCAGGGTGTCCCGGAACAGAAAGGTGAAAATCTCAAGGAGGTTCTAAGTGAAGCACTAACACCAGTGGTGGATCTTAAAGCGGAGTTCCTACAAAGTGAGATGGATGTGGTTTACTGGATGTATATGGAATACATCAAGAAAAACAACTTGCCCGGTGAAATATTTGTGAAGTTCTCCAAAAGATCTACAAGAGATATAATACTTAAAGCGACTAACGGGATTACCATGAAAGTCAAAGGTGGAGACATAAGAATTTTTAAAGACATTCCATTTGAGATAAGAAAGAAGAGACAGCAATATAAAAACCTGACTATGTTCTTACAGAAAAATTCTACTCCCTACCAATGGATGATACCAGAGGGACTTATCATCAACTTCAAGGATTGTAAAGAAAAAATAGACTCTATTGTAAAAGCCAATGCGTTTTTGAAGAAACATCAAAAAAGTGAGAAAGTGTTTAAGTGTTATATTTCAAAATTCAAATAAAAAATTTAATTAAAAAAAAAGTAAGAAAGCGGAAGGAAAAGCAGAGGACGACAAGACAGAAGAAGAAGACAATAGCGAGTATGGACTGGGAAATACTACTAATTCATCGAGCAGTTCCTCTGAGAAAGGTTCAGAATCGGATTTGGGAGCAGCTGCCCCCAACCTTTCTAAGTGTAAAGGGAAGAGGGGGGGAAATAGATGTGTATACTGAAAGCTTAATACTTTTAATCAAAAAACACCATAATCCACTTATTTTGACTAATACTGTTTCTAATGTTTGTACTGATTAGTATCTGAAATAGTTAACCTTCATCTTATTTCTAGTGTTAAAGACATGGGAAACTTTGTAATGATTATTTTAGTATTGAGATCCTTATTAGCTTAGTAGTTTTAGTTATTCCCTGTCCCTCTTACCTGTAAACTGTAGTGAAAAATGAAAAATAAAAATAAAAAGAAAGGTTGAAGGAGCTGGGTATGTTTAGCCTGTAGAGGAGACGACTAAGAGGTGATATGATAACCATATTCAAGTACTCGAAGGGCTGTCATCTAGAGGATGGCGTGAAGTTGTTTTCTGTTGCCCCAGAAGGTTGAACTAGAACCAATGGGTTGAAATCAAATCAGAAGAGTTTTTGGCTAAACATTAGGAAGCACTTCCTGACAGTTAGAACGGTTCTTCAGTGGAAGAGGCTTCCTAGGGAAGTGGTGGGCTCTCCTTCTTTGGAGGTTTTCAAGCAGAGGCTAGATGGCCATCTGACAGCAATGCTGATTCTGTGAACTTTGGCAGGTCACGAGAGGGAGGGCAGGAAGGGTTGCCTCAGTACTTCGTTTTTGTGGTCCTTTCTTACAGGCCCAGGGAAATGCTGATTGCCACTTTGGAGTCAGGAAGCCATCCTGGAGGGTTTTTTGTCTCTTTCGGGTGTGGAACACAGGGGCCACTGCGGGTGTGGAGGGGGAGGTATTTGTGAATTTCCTGCATTGGGCAGGGTGTTGGACTAGAGGACCCTGGAGGTCCCTTACAACTTTATGATTCTATGAGAATCCTGTCCACATAGATTGAATAAACTGGAAAGTATCCTAAAGAGCTGGACAGTTTGGCATCCCAGCACCACCTGACTGTTGTCTAAAAGTGAGGAAAGGTCTGCCATCCAAGGACTGTGAGAAAGAAGTATTGTTCTGGATAAGGTATATCTTGGAACGGTTTTCGCTGGGCACTGTGTCAACAGGCAGCACTTTGTCACTTGCTATTTTGAACATGTAGCAGCTCCTCGATTGGCTTATCTTATTTTTTTTCCCCTTAATTGGGTGGGTTTTTTTTAATGTCTGATGTAAATCCCTCAAATATGTATTCATGTCCAAAGAACAGATTCAAATGTGGTTGCAGCACAGGTCTTAAGACGTACTTCTGGATTGTGCGGGATGACAAATGCCTCATAGAGGTTCTAGGACCGTGTGGGTGTGCGCTCTGTGATCGTGTGGTGTGCCTTTTGCCTGCTGTTATGTCCACTGGGCAGTGTACAGAAAAGCAACCCTGCTTTGTGGAATTACCCAAGCCCAGGTTGATGATGTGACTGAAGTTGCTGTAGTCCTGGTGGAAGATTTAAACAGTTTCCTTTCCTGTGGTTCTAGGTGATTACAAATAGATGAGGGGCTTTTGCAGACAGGAGCTAAGGAAGTATTGTTCAAAGTCAGCCATAAGTAAGTTGCCATCCTGTGAACCCTTTTGTGTGTGAGCACTATAGGAGGGTGCGCACCAGGCTGGGCGGTGGTTGCTTATCATGGCTCAGTCTCGGCTGCTCGGGGAGATACCTGTGTCTAGAGGGGCAACAGAAGAAGCTTCCTCTTATTTCAGCTTCTCTGATACAATTCTCCTTTGGAGAACCAACACTCCCCGCCCAAGAAGTTCCCTTCAGTTTTCATGGCTGAGCGCCCTCCCTCCAGCTCCCCCTTCCCCTTGTCCAACCCACAGGTTTCTCGGGGTTAGGGCCATTCTTGAGCAGCCCCAAGGACTGGACTGCCCCACTCGGCTGCAGGTTCTTCCCTCTCTCTCTGCCCACGCCACAGCCTCGGGGGAAACCCTCTCCCATTCCGGCTGGAAAGGCCCTGCAAGCCTCTGGGACAGCTCCTGCGGGGAACCCCTCTTGGCCTCGGGCAGCCTCAGTCCCCGGGAAGCACTTGTCCCGTCCTGGATGCCTCTGGCGTTGCCTAGCGGGGCCCGTCACACCAGGAGATAACATTACCATTGCTTCCTGTCTCGACAGTACTTCATGCATTCCATGGCCTGTTTGCCTGATTATTTACAGTTTCCCTCTATCCAGTGTATAAGCATTTGCCATCTGAGGACACACTTCATGCATGTGATAAAGTAGGCTCTTTTTGCCACAAAACACTGACTGGTTTTTAAGGGGACACAACACTGTTTTTTTATTTTTGCTCTAACAGACTAACACACTTACTGCTCTGGAATTTGTTACAAAGAAATCACAAATTACTGACTCTGTAAGGTATGTCAATTTAATGTTATACCTAATTTTTTTATCAATTGTGGAATAACCTAACAAAACCATTTGCCTGGGATTATCAATTCCTATTTTGCAGAATCATCCCCAAGATCACCAGTGGAATGTAACGCAGTGCATCCACAGTGAGGGTTAGACTCCTCCTAGTATTTGGAAATTTAAATAATGTGAAGGGTGGAGCCAGCTTAACTTGCTGCTACACATTTACCTGTTAAAAAACTTTTATTTTCTTTACAAGAAGTAAAAAAGGGGAGGGGGAGGAATGCAAGAGATCTGCCCCCCCCCTTCACAAGTCTCAGGTGAACTCTATTAAATATTCTGGATAGATCTGATTGGCATCAAAGACAACAAAAATCTTCGGATTCCATGTGTTGTCCACACAACTGTCATACAGATTTACAAAGCTCCCATCTTTTGAAGGTGGCCTCACGTATTTTGAGTCCCCAGTAATATAGTCTCCAGTCAATACGCGAGCAAGAAACATCACTTTATGCTTCCTGAACATATGAAGTTGCAGATCAACACCATGAATCTGAAACGTACTGCTGTGCTTCATGTCGTCTTTGCAGAAGCGGCTCGAATAGGATGCATCCCTAGCAAAGTACGTCCCTACAGAAAGAAAGAGGCGCTTCAGCACAGTCTAGAAACATATTTGTTCCACTTACTCAGGGCAGAGTCTAAACACCTGAGGGATGCTGTGGGGCTACCCTACGTCGTCCTCCCTTCTCCTCCCCACACCTGCCTGTAGTCAGAGGCTCACGTGACGTCCCCTCATGGCCCAACCCACCACTCCGGGGGCTGCCGCCAGGAGGAGCAGGCAGGGAAACGCTCAGCTTCACGGCACCCTCCCCTCCCTGAGTTTCCATCCACAGTAGCTAGTGGCATTTAGGACACTCTCCACTGTCTACATTATGCTGCTTTATTGTCTTCTAATTTTGCAATCCAGCTTCATGACACTGTATAGTACTGCATTGTTCTACAGCCCTGAATTATGTTTTTGTGCTACATTCTTTCGTTTACTACTGTTGGATATACATTATACTGTTCTATGTGCATTACTTTTAGTTGTTTATGTTGTAATCTGCCTTAGCCTCGCTGAAAAAGACAGACATAAATAAAGCAAGTAAATAAACACAAACTTCAAGGGAGAGGAGGGAGAAAAGTCAACATGCCGTTATTCTTCTCTATTCTTCATTGTCTCCAAGTGCCAATAATGGCTTGTGCTGGGATTTGCTGTGCACCGGTGAGCTCTCCCGCTGACCTCATGGCCAGGAGGAAGTTACTTGACATCATCATTCTGTCCTACATTCAAACCACACACATACCATAGTCCCCAATGGAGCCCACAGTGATAGGCAATGTGGCACAAAAACAAACTGAGGTGGGGTCTGGAAGTCTGCGTGCGTTCAGCCCATCCAAGGGGCTCCACTGCTCAGATATGGACATTCCAACAGCATGCAGAGACCCCACCACGCAAGCACAGTAGTGACCTGTCCTCTTCAAGACCGGGAACAGTCCTGTGAACGCAGTTGGGGGTGAACTGCAGTGGTCCTTAACCTTTATGGCAATGAGGAAACCTCTGAAAGCGTGTTAAATTGGTAGCACAAGTGACCTCAAAAAGTTAACTGCAACATTTGCCTAGAACAGCTAAAGATATTCTTCTAATAGTTGGAAGCCGTTTATTAGATGAATCTCTATACAGTCAGTGCAACCTTCTGGAAGACTCTCAGACTTCCAAACTATGAGACGGACCTTCCTGATAAAGTATGTGCTCTTCAGCTTCTCAGTGACCTCTTCCAGCTTTTCCTACATGCCAGACTGAACCAGGAATAACAGCACGGATGGCTATGAGGGAGTTCTTTCAAGCACATGCACAAGCGCACAAAAGCACCACTGTTGTGAAGGGGGGGTCTGAATGACCGTGTCAGGCCCTCAGTCTAGGCCCTCAAGGCACAATCTTCTCCCATCCAGAACACGAACAGTGGCACTTACGCAAGTTAAAAAAAAGAAAAAAGGAAGCCCATAAGCCTCTCTATGTTGGGACAAAGCAAAGGCCTGCCATAGTCCCACCATTTTCAGCCACCCAGAAGATCACAAGCAGGACATAACAGAGTCACCCCCATCATTTAGCCATCAGAGGTATAACACCTTCTCTGATTGTAGACACTGCATGGACCACTTCCACGAATTTGCCATGGAGGGAGCATTGTCCCAGTTACCCAAAGGTCTGCCCTAGGGATTGAAGTGTCCCCAGTTCTGGAAGGGGGACATCCAGACTCCCCCTAAACAAGCAGGTTCCTGGGCCTCCTGCTGGATAAGCAGGTGACAGTGGTGGCCGGGAGCACCTCTTGCCAGCCTTGGCTAGTGAGCCGACTGCAGCCTTTCCTGGGTAAAAAAGATCTTGCTGCTGTAGCACATACCCTGGTAACACCTAAATTAGACTACTGCAATGTGTTCTATGGGGGGTCTGCCCTTGATGAGTGCCTGGCACAGAATACTGTGGTCAGAATGCTGACTGAAGTGGATGGTTAGGGTCCATGTCACTCTCGTCACCTCCCACCTGCTTCTGGGCCTAATGCTTACATCAACCTTTAAAAGCCCGATATGGGATATCTTCAGGACTGCATTACTCCCATCTGAACCACCTACAGCCGTCTTTGGAGTCCCTGCTTGGAGGGCCACCAACACCTGAGACTATATGGGCGGCATCCCAAGAAAGGGCCTTTTCCTATCATGCCACCAAAACTATGGAGTTCCTCTGCCCCCCCACCCCCCGGGGGCGGGGACACTTGTTTGTCTCCCTCTACCATTGTCCTCTACCAGCAGCTGAAGACTTTTGTTTCTTTCTTTCTTCTGGGGTTGCTTTAATGACCCCATTTGTTTTAATTTGCCGTTTTACATATGTGTATTGTTCTTAATGTTGATGTTAACGTCTCTTTAACTGCTCACCACCTTGAAAGTGCTGACTGGGCAGAAAAGTGGGACACAAAAGTCTTAAATAAATCAATTAAAATTATGTGTGTGTGGGGGGGAAACATTTAAATGGATAACTCATTCAGCCTTTTACCTTTTCCATAAACAGCAGCATGCATGCCATTGATTCTCCAGTCAAAGTTATGAATGCAGATGGCTTCCACAAATTCGCCACTGGTGCCATGAAACAACATATGTTCATTGATGAAAGAGGCACCTCTTTTCTTCTTTAACTGATTCTTTTTCCTGCAGTGACAGGATTACAAAGAAGTTGTCAAGGAAACAGAGCACCAAAACAGTATAACGCGAGAACAAAGATCAAAGACTCGCAGAGGAGACTTCCTGACAAATCCATCACCCATTCATCGGCAACAGAATGTCAGGAGAGAGTCCTAAAGAACTATACTGCTTGAGGCTGCAGGGAGGGAGGGGGGCACAGTTCTCAGCGCAGGGAAATGACATGCTGATTTCCTTTCCACTCATAGGGAGTTTTTTTTAATCAATGTTTTTGTATAGGGAGCAACATACCTGGGCCACCTGCAGTCTGCAGAGGTATTATCCCCTTTCTACCACCTCATATATAGAGCTGGCTTTATGCCTCAGTAAAATGAAAATCTTAAACTCAGAGGACATGGCTTTGGCACACAATCACCTTTGGCAGCTCGCTACTTGTAAAACATTTTGTACACCTCTGCAGGAATGTTTCAGATATCTTTGTAGGTAACAAATAGTGCAATCCATGTATTTACTCCAATCTAAATGCATGAATTTCAGTGGGACAATTAATTATTCTGCACTACACATTGATTCCTCAACTGTAACATTCCTGTCAAGGGGAGAAAAACACATTGCTGCTTAGTAGATGGATTTGCTGCAAACATCCACCCCTGGCCAGGGAGCTAAATGAATCACTGATGAAAAAGGCTACTTTAAGCCCAAATATAGTGACTTCAAAAGGCTTCACACATTCAGGCTTATATCCAGAAACTGGTCTGGTTGCCTATGGCACAAAGTAGTAGAGATGCTTTACCTTTATTCCTCCAAATATTTATCTATGATTTAGAGCAGTGATGCTTACTCAGTGGCTCTTTGACAGGCCACTTGTGGCTTTTCTGAGCAGTTTCCCAACATGGCACTGGAGAGTATGTAAGGCACCTGTAGTGGGCAGGTGGTTTCCACCTTGAAACAATCACTGCTGGAGGAACAGGTAAGCTGCCAGCCTCCCTGAGGCAGAAGCCTTGTGTCAGAGAAGGAGGAGGAGATTGGATTTATACCTCACCCTTCACTCGGAGTCTCAGAGCAGTTTACAAACTCCTTTCCCTTCCCCTCCCCACAACAGACACCCTGTGAGGTAGGTGGGGCTGAGAGAGCTCTTTCAAGAACTGCCCTTTCAAGGACAGCGCTTGTCAGAACTATGGCTTGCCCAAGGTCATCCAGCAGCTGCAAGTGGAGGAGTGGGGAATCAAACCCAGTTTTCCCAGATTAGAGTCCGCACACTTAACCACTACATCAAACTGGGGGGAAAGAAAAGAAGCCGGCCTCTGGACTTCAACTCCCCACCATTGCCGGCTAAACAACTACATACGGAAACTCTCCTCTGAGGGAAATAGTAAGGGACATCTCTTCACAATAGGTTTACTGCATTAGTGGAAGAGAAGCTCCTACAATCAGCTCCGGACTTAAACCTCTCTAATGGAACTGGTAGAAATAAATGTCCTAATACGATTAAGAAATATCTTTTTGCAGTTGATGCCCCCTCATAATGAAGGGCTATTTTCAGAGAGTGAGGAGCCAGCTATGCAACTTCCAAAACACTCTTTGATGAAGCTTATAGTAGACCACTGCTCATTAACTGGGGAAATGGTAATAGGTATTTTTCAAGAACTCAATAGCATCTCAAACAAGTTAGATAAACTCACTAACACAGTAAATGATATGAGAAGACCTGCTATCGCTTACAAAGGAGTGAAGCACCCAGACCCTCTATGTTACATCTGTAATTCCCCAGTTCCTCTTCAAAGCTACCTACCCCCCAGAAGATGAGGATATTTCAAAAGGGGAAAGTGCAGGGTCTATTCTCCATTCCCAAACAACTCAAGTGGTGCTGTATATCTCTTTTAATCACCTGAATTGAGATCGCTGGGCTAATAAAAGTAGTATTACACTTTCTCTGCGTCAGCTTTTATGAACTGAGTTTCATTTAATTTTTGCTTGGAGAGTATTTGCAGATGCGAAAGTTCTCCCGCTTCTGCCAAAAAGGACATAGGCAGCATCTCAATCTCCGGATTCTGCTGCAACTCAGAATAAGGCCAAACTGATCCCAGCCCTATGGTTTACATCTAAATTTATCTCCACCAAAAAGACTTTTCAAGATGAGCACGTTCATGCTGCCTCTATACTTTAGATAATTTAAAGAACTCCACCCAAAAGCTACGAGCCTTAATAGAAATCCTTCATCAATGTACCATAGAGAGTCTGGTAGCCAGGAAGAGTTCTATATCTCAAGATCATAATACTCTTGAAGAGGTGGAGGACCCAATCTCCCTCTCAACTACATCCTTGGACCAAGAGGTCCAGAGAACAGCTGAACCTGCACAACCACACAATAGAGTTGTAACTGAAACCTCCATGCAAGATGAATCAGCTGTTGATGATGTAGATGATTTTTTTGTCCCCCAAGCAAAAAAAAAATATGGGGAAAAGAAGTTAAATATTCCAGCTGGGTTTGATATTGACCGGATGCTGGAGTATTTTGAAGCAGCAGCTATTAAACCCCCCTCCTCGAATGGATTGGGGACTGATTTTATGACAGTCTGAGGTTGTTGTTTTTTAAGCCTCTTCCTTTTTCTTAAGCCTCTTCCCGAAATGGTATTTCTGCTGATTTCTTTCTTTTTCTCTCCATCCTCCTTTCCACTGCCCTTCCCTGAATAGTATTTCCCCCCCCCCTCTTGGCCCGGATTGGAACTGAGCTTTGGAACTGTTCCCTTTCCATACTGGGGAAAGTAGGGCTGCACCACAGGCGGGGGGAGGGCAGACGGTGACTCATGCAGAATGAAGTTCATGACTCAGATCTTTTTTTATTTTTTTTGTTCTTGGGGGGTTTGTTTATTTGTTTATTGAGATTTTTACCCCGCCCTCCCCGCAGAGCGGGCTCAGGGCGGCTTACAAGGGGCAAAGCCCATATAAAACAGATAAAAACATTAATAACAGTTGTACTCAATTTAAAAACAAGATGGTTTCCAGATACATGCCAGATGGTAAACAGACAGATCTCCAGGGAGTATGTTAACCTATAGCCTATCCCAACCAGGTAAATCCAGTGGTATCAGTCACGCAGAAATTGTGGCGGATCTTCCCGGGCCATCCTTAACCCCGATGTTGTCCACCGGTGGTAGTGGCGGCCCCTATGTGAAAGCCTGGCGGAAGAGCTCCGTCTTACAGGCCCTGCAGAACTGCATAAGGTCCCGCAGGGCCCTGATCTCCTCCGGGAGCTCGTTCCACCAGGTAGAGGCCGCCACTGAAAAGGATCTGGCCCTAGTCACGGCGAGCCTTGCCTCCCAGGGGCCTGGAACCACCAGGCGATGTTGTGCCCCAGACCGAAGTGCTCTTAGGGGTATGTGGGGAAAGTGCTCTTGGGGGTATGTGGGGAAAGGCGGTCCCTCAGGTAAGTCGGACCCTGGCTATATAGGGCTTTAAAGGTAAGAACCAGCACTTTGAAACGGATTGGGTATGCTATTGGCAGCCAGTGCAGCGCTTTCAGCCCAGGCTGGATGCGCTCCCACTTGGGGAGGGCCATTATCAGCCTGGCCGCCGCATTCTGCACTAGCTGCAGCTTCCGGATCTGCCCCAAAGGCAGCCCCATGTAGAGAGCGTTACAGTAGTCTAACCCTGAGGTGACTGTCGCATGGATCACTGTAGCCAGGTCGTCGCGGCCAAGGAAGGGAATCAACTGCCGGATCAGCCTAAGATGATAAAATGCCAATCAGGCAGTGGCTGCCACCTGGGCCTCCATAGTTAAGGAGGGGTCCAGGAGCATTCCCAAACTCCTAACCTCCGACACTGGCACCAACGGCACCCCATCGAAGGTCGGGAGAGGGAGCCCCAACTCTGCTCCGACTCAGGCACAGGACCTCCGTCTTCG